CATCCTAGATATTAAGTTGATCATTTAAGTCAGAAACCTACATGCCAGGAGTTGTTTATTAGTGGCTCGGTAGATGTTTGGACAAGCGGGGTCTTGGTAGGTCTACAGGTTCAGTCATAAGAAGTAATCCGCAGTAAAGAACTTGCCAACAACGATATGCCCGTAAGCGGGATCCTGCTCTAAACCATGGCCAAAACAACTTCCATAAGCCCGAAACTCTAAACCCAAGACATGTTCAGCAACAACTCCTCATCCCACTCCTGAAGCCTAAACCCTGAACCGCCTCTAAATCTCAGTTTCCAAACCTAAGCAGTAAACCCTGAAGCCCGAAACAAAATCATCGGGGGAGAAAACCCAATGAACATCCAAAACTAAAAGAGATTGCAACACAACTTATAGGTTAGGGTTTAGGGTTTATGGCTTAGATCTCAGGCTGCACGGGTGACTGCAGCAAGAAACTCATTCCCGAATCCCTTCGCGCTAACGTGCGGCATCTGAAACCCTAAACCCAAAACCTCAAACCCACGAGGCAACAACCTCCTCGTAGTCCTGCAGGGCCAGATGAGGCAATGGCTTCGGACCCTAAACCTAAAACCAAATGGGACGGAGGGTCTAGGGTCTAGGGTTTAGGGCTTAGGGTTTTGGGCTTAGGGCTTAGGGTTTGACCGATCTAGATGCATCTAATATACAGGCCTTAATAATTAGAATAGGGCTTTGGGGTGTATTATACTATACTTATAATAAGGAACCCCCTGAAATAGTATAGGTAATTATTAAGGCCCCTATATTACCTCGGAATCCAAAAAACCTACTATTTGGCAGGGTGTGGGGTCGCAGGTAAAGTTAACTCTTCGAGATCGGAATAGTTACAGCCCTTGGGTAACTACACTACACCGGACTCCCCACAGTACCCAGTGAAGTAACTCTTTATAAGAACCCCTTGTAAAGATCTCTCTAAAGGAACCCGTATTTTCGTATTCTTACGGCCCCCACACACCCTAAACCCTAGATGGCCAGGCGGCTAGGGTGAACAGATTACGGCAAGGTGACTTGCAACTCTAATAAAAACCCTAAACCCTTTATCCTGCGAACGCAGTCCTTCGATCCTCCAGGCACCCCCTCAGCCCTCACCCCTAAACCCTAAACCCAAAACCCTAAACCCTAAAGCTTCAAACCCTCAACCCATAAACCCTAAGCCCCTAAACCCTAAACCCAAGTTTCAATCGCCGCCCGCTGAAGGACAGCCGGAAGTGCCAAGATCAGGGCCCGTAAACCCTAACCCTAATTAAGGAAAACTGCAGGTGGGGAGTTTAGGGTATATATAGGGCTTCTATACGGCCTCTTTAAGGTATATAGACCTTCTATACTGCCCCTATAAGGTCACTACCCACCTGAAAATGTCCTAGACCTAAACTTAAACCTGCAAATTTTAAAGGTTTAGGGTTTAGGGCTTGGGGCCTAAAACGTAAAATCGAAACCCTAAGCCTACAACACTAGAGCCGCTTCCGCATTTAAAGTTTCAGCAACAGTATAGGGTTTAGGGTTTGGTGTCTGTTGGGATTTCGGACTTAAGCTTTGGATGGATTCTTCGGGTAGCTAGGAAAAATGACCCTGAAAGCCGTGTACTGGTTCAGGGTACTATATGAGGGTTTAGGGTTTAGGGTTAATATGATGCCCCAAACCCTGAACCCCTTCGTCTTCGAGCTTGTGTGTCGTTGTCGTTTGCATGTTTGGCAGGGGGGGTGGCTTCAACCCCTTGCAACCCTAAACCCTAAACAGTAACTCCCGAGACAAACCCGCCGTGATGCACGACCCTCAACTCTAAGTAAGCCCTATACCTATATAACCCCAACCCCAAAGCCTTAAATCACTTATAAAAGCTTGTCGAGCGCGGTAAGGCCTAAAAAAAGACGCTGTCAACACCTCCTGGATGCGCGACCCTTAGCCCTCTATCTGAAACTTTAGACCCCTTAACTCCTGCTGTAGCACCTATATTCTATATATATATATATATATATATATTCTATATATATATATCTTATACAGTATTTAGATATACATAACACACATCGAAACATCCTCGAACCAGCTCATACAATACAACTCTTTAACACACGGTGTTGGACAACATTCCTAACACCCCAGGCCCCAGACCTGTGCAAGGCAATTTGAGATCCTAAATCCCGAAACTCTAAGCCAGACCCTACAAAACAGTAGGTTGTGACCACTTTTATTGTAGGGTTTAGGGTTCAAGGGTATGACCCCTAAACCAGTAGTAGCCATGGACTCCCCAAACCCGCTTGATGCTCAACCCTAAACCCTACAGCCCAAACCCATAACTACCCTAAACGGCCCTAAACCCTAAACCCTAAACCCTAAACCCTAAACCCTAAACCCTAACCCGCCTTGATGCGGGAAACTTGTCCATGCACCACGGAGACTTTCTGCTCGCAGTCAAAGAGACCCGACCTGAGAGTCTGTCGGTTTAGGGCTTAGGTCTAAGGTTGAACCCATGGGCCCCTAACATGGGCCCTTAGGGGATTCTAGGGTCCCTTAAGGGTATATATAGGGTGTATAGTAGGTATATTGGGGTCCCAGGGTTAAGGGCCCATACTAGGGGCCCATGGGTTCTACCTTAGATTAGGGCTTAGGTTTAGCATTTATGGTTTCAAGGGCTCAGGGGACTTAGTACGTAGGCTCATAATTCGGGCTATAAGTGCCCTAAGCAGCATTATCCTAATCATAACCTTACTTATAACCCTAAGCCCTAAACCCCTTACCTACTAAGTCCCATGGGCCTTTAGGTACTCCTGGAACTCTGGGATTTAAGCTGAAGGATTGCTTTAGATGCCTTTAGGACGTACAGGGTTTAGGGTTTAGGGTTTAGGGTTTACCCTACACCCTAAAGGTATGACTTAGCAAAAGGCCCGGACTCGAATACCCTCAACCCTAAACCTTTGTAGTACCTTCCCAGACCCCCGTAGGAGGATCCTAGGAGTAGACCTATAAAGTACTATTTAGCAGTATCGGGTTCCAAATTAGGGGATCTCCTTGTTTTTTGGATCCTTCCGGTGGTCTGGGTCTATAGTGACCCACTGCGCCGCTACCTTCGAGCCGTTTGCCCTGAGGCTGGCACAAAATGAACGGAACGCCCTGCATCTGCGTCTCCATGACACTGGGGGCCACCCCTGCCAGGGCTTTTAGGCTTTGCCCTAAACCCTACAAACCCTAAGCGTGTTTAGGCTTTAGGCTTCATGAGGTCTAACTAGGGTTTCGGAAGGGGTCTACCTGGGGATCCAAAACCCTACCGTTTTAAGGGTTCTACCCTCTATTTAAGGGTCATAACCTACTATTTCGTAGGGTTTGGGGTCACAGGTAGGGTTTATAGGGAGGCTGTAGGGCAGGGTCTAAACCATGTAAAGCTTATGTTCCTTGTTCATGGTATTTCCGGCGTTCTGGGCAAGGGCGGAAAAAGGGGTTCAGGGTTTAAGGTTTCAAGGTTGTGCCTCTAACTCCAAACCCCGCCCTAACCCTAAACCCTAAACCCTAAACCCTAAACCCTAAACCCTAAACCCTAAACCCTAAACCGCAGAACTCCCCAGAGACCCCAAGATCCCTTACTCGAACTCTTCAAGTGAGAGGTGACCAGGGTGACTCTGAATAATCAACCCTCCTCATTCCGGACCGCAGGCTGAAAGATCTTCAAGATCTTAAACCCGAAACCCCTAGACCCCTAAACCCTAAACCCTAAAACCCTAAGCCCAAAACCCTAAACCCAAAACCCAAAACCCTAAACCCTAAACCCTAAACCCAAGCCAGGATGCCTCGGATTCGGACACAACAGTAAGTCGCGGAGATCTTGGCTTCAGAGTGCTTGGGTTTAGGGTGCAGGGGTCTCGCGTGGTTCCAGAGTTCTAGAGTGTTTAGGGTTTAGGGGTTTAGGGGTTTAGGGTTAGAGGCTATCCGCACCCTCCTGCATAACAAGGGTACTCTTGTTCCTAACATTCGGTTTGAACAAGGAGACCCCAAAACACAAAGTGCAAAAGGGCACTATGGGGAACGTGGCTATAGGGTCTAAGCTCTAAAACAGTAGGTTTAGGGATCCCATTTTGGCTTAAACCCTATTTCAGGCTTAGGTTTTCCTCTTTACTAAACCCTAAACCGTTTAGGGTTTGAAACCCTAAACCCTCAACCCTGAACCCTAAACCCTAAGCCCTAAACCGTTTGGTTTAGGCTTTTCCAAAGGTTTGGAGGGCCTCGGCTTCCGATTTGGGCAGCGATGTGGGGTTTAGCTTCATGGGCTTGAGGTGTTTGTTGGGGGGTGTTTAGGGTTTAGGCTTTTAGGGGTTTAGGGGTTTAGGGTTTAGGGTTTAGGGCTTCAGGGCTTAAGGTTTCGCGTATAGGGGTTCCCTATAACCCCAACCCCTTCAGAATAGTAGGCTCTGACCTCTTAAATAAGGCCCTATAATTGGAGGTTCATGGGACTTAGTAAGTACAGTTATAAGTACCTCAGTTGGGGTTATAAGTA